GTTGTGTACAAGCTAATAGTGTGTCAGAATGGTAAATATTTATACTTCTCATCTAAACACAATTAAATTCACTTGATCCAGGAGACAATTTATCAAGATAGTATTTTTAAGTAACAACTCAGAATAAAATAGGAGTAACGACTTTCTACTTCTTACCTTTTTGAAAAATGTAGTGAGTAGAAAGTACAGATAATTGTGTAAAAAATGTAACGAGTAGAAGTAAAAAGTACGCTGAAAAATAATTACTCAAGTAAAGTACAGATAACCAAAATTTTTACTTMAGTACAGTAACATAGTATTTGTACTTRGTTACTTTACAACTCTGTGTCAACAGCAAAATAAGCTCTTTGTAAGAGAAGATTTGACAGTTTTTTCATGTGCTAAACCCACAAATGCATGTTCCTTACAAATGTGGCACCACTTAAAAGGGAAATTAACAGATTTTCCAACGATATAAGATTAATTGCGAAGAAGCAGTGTTACAATAAAGAAATAAGCTGCCAAACACTAATTTCCTTCCTTTAGTATATCAATTGGTGCCAGTTTACTCCAGTAGTTCTCCAGAATACTGATATACAGTTCTGAAAATGCAGGTTTGCACTCAATGTAAACAAAGCCCTTTCATCTGCATACTTTAYTCAAGAAATGTGAGAATAAAAAAGAAAAACAAACCAGTGCATCAAAGTTGTTGGACTAACTTCATCCCAAATGACTCGTCCATTGACGTTGACCTACTTTTGACCAGTGGACAGATTTTAATATAACTGTGCCTGACTACAACACGGTTTTTTTTTTCTTCTTAATGTCAGAAAGTTGGAATTAAAGGGAAAAAAAGAGTTTTGTGACAGTTACAGCAATGGAAAAAACATCCTCCAGGAGTTTGTGTTAGGCTTAGTGAAGACATCTTTCAATAATCAATATCATGAGATCACACGTAAATAGGGCTGCCACGATTAATCGATTATTAAAATAATCGATGACTAATTTAATAATCGAATAATCGTTTTCTTTTTTTGTTGTTGTTCTTTAATTTGTTTTTTTTCTCTAAACTGCTTTGACACCTTCCACTGCCACATCTACCTTTCTGTCCTTGACACACATGCACAGTAGTG